CAGAAAATCCTTCTGCCAAACAATGAATCCACTCTGCGAGCCATTCTGTGCAGTTTTCAGGTGCTTTTGGCAGAAAAAAAATCATCTGCCAGAGACAAACACCCTCCCGGCAGAAAAAAAAAACACCTCCCGGCAGAAAAAAACACCTCCCGGCAGAAAAAGCCATGCCGGCTTTCGGAACTGCAGAGTTCGAGGGCTTCTGCAGAGTGCACGCCAGCCTGCTTCAGGAAAAAAAGTGTTTCTGCGGACTCAAAAAGGGCGTTTCTGCAGAGTTTTTCATTCCCAGTGTAAGCTGAACGGCAAGCTCCCTGAAGAACTGTATGGTCTCGGGAATCTCCGGGCTTTGAGCTTGAATGGTTGCAACTTTACTGGGGCCATCAGTTCATCACTTGGTCAATTGACACGTCTGAGTTGGCTGAACCTAGCCAACAACAACTTCCATGGTACTATTCCCAATGAGATTGAAGAGCTGACAAAGCTGAGGCAGCTACTGGTGAATGGGAATCATTTCACCGGGAGTGTTCCTGTTTCCATTTGCCAAAACGGGTTTGTGGCTCTGGCCGATGTTTCCAAGGTTGTGGCCGACTGCTTGCCCAATGAAGACACTGGCGTGTCCACAATCGAATGTGCTGCTGATTGCTGCACCAGCTGTTGTGATGATACAGGAGTTTGCCTTTCTAAATATAATTGATTAGATTTGATTAGTGCAGCTTCATTCTACTGCATGCATGGCGAAACTGGTTATTACGGCCAAGCTATTGCTATGCTGCCAGTTATCGATCCCAAGGAGGTTTTCCCACACTATGTATGTACATGCATGGTGAGCACATTCGGAAGCCGACGATGCATGCATGGATACTCTCCTTTGTTTAAGTCTGAGCAGCATCCCTCCGCCTCGTTGGTTTGTTCGACAGGAGGCAACTCGTTAACTTCGTCCTACATGATAGTTCTTGCATGACGTTACTACGTTTCGTGGTTCGAAATTTGGATTGTGGAGGAAATTTGCTTGTTTTGGAAGATAAATACAAGGATGGCTATATAGTACCGGCGCAGGGGGCTCTTTCTCTGAGCTTCTTCTTGACCACAGAAAAGTATAGTAGTGGTGTATAGAGACTAAGTCCTGATAGCTATAGTGTTGGAGGGCTGTTCTCTAGAGGGCACCGCAGGAAGTGTCGGCTATTGGCACGCGACGACTGCATCCAGAACCTCCCGCCTCCCGGCCATCCTACTAGCTATGTAGCTCTAGTAATATGTAGAGGAAGCTATTATTAATTAACATGGTGCCCGTACCGGTAAGTCGTGGGTAGATTGTAGCCGCACACTGGCCCCGAAACCCTCCTCCACCCAGCATTGACGCTCACCGTCGAGGACGAGACACCTCGATCGGAAGAGAGGCAGGGACCGTGTCCATGCACTGTATTCATGCACCCCCCTGCCCTGCCCCCCCTTGTTGTGCCCTGCTCGCGTCCTCATTGCTCTCCCCGTATGCCCACCACAACAGCCACCCAACACCGCAGCCACTGCTTTGCCTACCGGTAGCCTCGCCCCCCTCGCCCCTCGCTCCTTAACGTATCTATTTAGTATTTATTTTTCAACTGCACTGCATTCATAGCTTTCTTTCCTTGATCATGTGGTTACGATTGGGAAGTAGCGTCGGTCGTCGTCTGATGGTCCAACGACAAAGGACGGCCGTGTCTCATACTACATGTACATGTATGTACATGAGTGATGGGAGTGGTCCAAGCAACGGCAAGATTGGAGGCAAAAAAGGGCAGACAATGGCATTGGTGGAGAAGATGCGGGACAAACTAGACCGTGATTCGACACTTCATCAAGGCGACAGCTGGGAGGAACTCTGGCAAGAAGGTGTGACACCCTGGGATCTCCATCAGCCGACTCCCGTGTTGCAGCAGGAACTTGACACCACTGCACTTACAAGCACTAGCACTAGCAGTAGTGTTGGTAAGAGAGTGCTAGTGCCTGGGTGTGGATCTGGATTTGACTTGATTACTCTGGCGGAACGACTGGGCCAAGATTCTGTCATTGTGGGTCTTGACATTTCAACTACCAGTTTGCAGAGGGCACAACAGGTGCTGCTAGATCATCATTCAAGCAGCAACACTACTAGTACCGGTACTGTACTGCTAGCCCAGGGAGATTTCTTTGAGAGACCCGACAGTTGGGACACTGTTTTCTCCACCAATAAGGATGACCCATCCAAGTCCAATACATGTATTCCATCCTTTGGATCATCCTTTGATTTGATTTACGACTATGTCTTTTTCTGTGCCCTGCCTCTGTCTCTACGACCCCAATGGGGAGCCACCATGGCATCGCTTCTGGAACCATCCCAAGGACGACTCCTCACACTCATGTTCCCCATTCTACCGGATGCGGATCCCACACGAGGACCGCCCTTTCCTGTCACTGTTCAAGACTACCAACATGTGCTGCAATGTCACGGCGTAGTCATGGAATCCACAGAGCCGTATGCTAGTACCCAGACAGTTCCTTCCAGAGTGGGCAAGGAATTGGTTTGTTGGTGGAAACACTCCAGTACGGTATCAGCAGCAGCAGGAGAAGAGGATCACGTTCCAACACCAGTGTCCAAATTGTAGGTAGGGGCCAATATACCAGCCATCAAGGGCAAAAAAAGGGCCTCATGACTCTTCAGGTGGACATGCAGTGTCTGACAAGACAACGAATCGCCAAGTCGATCGAAGGGTCGACAAAAAGTGATTTTGACCAGAATAAATTTGACTCAATGAACACGCAACTGCCGACAAAATAAAGATTGCACGGATTGCAATTTTAAAAGAGAGAGAGAGAGAGAGAGAAGATTAGGATGAAACGCTACAGTGCCAGTAGACACAAAGCTGGCAGATGATGCGATCTTCATGGCGACGAAAGCTCGAGGTTGCCCCAGAAAAGCAGCTCGAGAAGGCAGCGTAAAAACAAAATACTGGTTGCATTTTGGAATTCGGGATGAAGAGGGTTGGACGAAAGAACAAATATACAAGGCGGACCGCTGGAATTCATGCACCAGTTTCTCAATGAATGGAAGCAAGCAATAGAAGCAACATCGTCCCCGACCTGACAATCACTCGATTCGATTCGACTCGACTCACAACAATCCACAGGGGTTCCGTTGCAACCACAATCGATCATTCATCATGACCAAGCCGTACGGTACTCGCTCGTTGTTGCGGTGGTGGACGTTGGTCGTAACCAGCCAATCAATCAACTATTGCAAGCACAAAAAGATCCATCAGAAAGGTTCGGGACGCTTGGCAACTGGCTGTACTGTACCGTACCAGGCCATCATGCAGCCAGCCATCATCAGAACGTACGGAAGGTGGGACAACGAAAATCCGGGGATCTACTTGTCCCTTCCGTATGATAAAAATGGGATTGGCAAAACTCGAATGTACCATTACCGGATCTCGGGGAGGGTTGCGCCTCTACGTAAAAACAGACGCAGAAAGATGGAAGCGAATGGAGTCGAATCGAGGTACCAAGATGCTCCATCGGGTACCGTAACGATGCTCCATCGGGTAACGAGGCTCCTCCTCGAACTTATCAAATTGGTGGGCTGAGAATATGAAGATTTGCTTCCAAAACGGGTTATCCGAAGTCAGGACGAAAAATGCAAGCAATCAATTCGGATCTCGCTTCGGATTTCATTGGCCAGTGACACATTGAGGTTGAAGAGCCTACGATCCCAGCTGCTGCTTCAACAGCTTTGCAAAGTGGAAGGGAAGCCTCTGCTGAACGAAGGAGTAAAGGGAAGCCTCTGCTGAACGAAGGCATGATTCTCCTGTGGGAACTGGGGCTTTTTGACTCTCTCTTTTAGCTGCGTTGTCGCGTTGTCCAACACGAAGCTGCGTTTCCAACACGAAGCTGTTCTACTTCCAATACGAAGCTAACTTCGGGAGTCTCGTCGGGATATGCGTCGATTCGAACTCGAACTTTGAACGAATGATCATGGTTTCGTTTTTTGGCTTCAAGAACAGAAAGTGAGGTTCTCTCACCTGGCCCCGAGAGCGGCGAATTCCTTTTGCGAAACAAAATGCACGAGTCTTCAAGGGTGCACTGCGGAGGATTTTTTACAAGCTGGGGATCTTTAGCCACAAAGGATGATGACACTCGCGTTCTCAGTGTCGGTGGAAGTGCTTGGTACCCGAACGAGGATGAATGAGCAACCGAAGCTTCCCAATTGCAACAATCTATCTACTCCTTGAACATCCATATCTGAGTAATGGTACCTTTGGTTGGGGGCTTCGATTTGAGCGGCCACCAGCAAGGACTGGAAAGGTTGCCGAGAGAAGCAAGCAGAAGCCTTCCTGTTCACCTTTTCGTATTCGCTTCAGCTTTTGCTTTGGGTGGAATTGGTTGCGGTGTGTTCCGAAAGCACGGCCACCAGAATTTCTGACTTTTTTCTCATTAATTTTATTTGATAGAAATTGTTGAGGACTTCAAGTAAGTTCAGGATTTGTGCTACTAGTACTAGGATACGGGATACGGGCTCACCCTTGCCTGCCTGGATTGAGGCCCACACAGCACAGATCATGCCTGTACCATCAAATTCGCATTGAAGCTGATCCTAATCATCCTACGAGGTTGCTCGTAGACAACCACGAGAGCCTACTCGTAGCTACCGGTATTAATATCATAGACTGTGTCTTGGTTTCCAAAGGTGATGGCCTTCTCATTGCCGGGGGAGAAGCTTCGGGAACCTTGAAGTGTTGTGCAGTCCAGAAGATGAACAAGCAGAGTGGATGCGGAAGCTGCTGCCTCCCACGCTCCTCGAGCACAAGTTGCCACTGTCACAACTACCGGTACACGGTACCGGTACCTCAATTCAATGTCCCTGCCAAACAATAATTAGCTACGATGTACTGTTCATACAGCATAAGCCCAACTTTCGGGGCAAAAATGCGAATAGCACCTCTGCTGAATTTGTTGGCTACCATACATCGAGGCCAAGCGAAGGTGGTATTGAGCGCTCCCTTTTGCAAAAGGGTATGATTGATAGCTGAAGAGACCATAACAAAGTACCGCATCAGACCTGGCTAGCTGGTGGTTATGATGAGGTGCTGCTGCTGGGGGGTGGAAAAAGCAAGTTTGATGGCCGTTGTGCTTGCACTACTGGTTGTTTTATCAAAAAGTGGAGTGGATCGAGGATCGAGGGAGCAGTGGTACCGGTAGTGGTAAGCTGGAACCAACGTCTCCTTCAATTGTACAATTGTGTTAATTAAAGGAGTTTTGAGATAGTTCGCATCCCAATTCTTTTGTAGCTTTTGGACTTTGGACACTGCACGATAATACAGCCAGAAATGAAAAGGGTCCACAGAACATAGAACATTGAAGGCGGTCTGGAATTCAAGGGAACAGCCTTACATGACATAGACAACGGGAACTCTACGAGCAATCTGACAAGTGATAGCAAGAAAGCCGAAGAATGAGTATTAATATCAGATTTCAGTACGCTTAGTCCAAAGTCCCCATGCTGTACGATGCTTGTCACGCCACAAGACTTAGTTACCCGAGTACAGTGAACTGCTACCGGTACTGTAGCTACAGTACTCGTACAAGTACCGGTAGCCGGTAGCTGCTCTGCTCTGCTCCACTGAAGAGTACAATAGCTCAATACTGAAGTACTCAGTACAGTAGTTGCTAGAGCTGCGGTGGCTGCATGCCGTGCGGGTGCAAGTAGCCGGTTCGAAGGAATCGAAGGAATCGAAACCTGAACGAAGCATTTCCTAACTACGGTGCAAATGCGAAGCCAACAGTTTTGCGGGGTTCGAGTATCAGCTTCAATGCGAACAAGGAACCAGCTTGGGTAGGCATACTAGAGTGAATTAAGCTCCAGTTGTTCTCATTTGGTGCAGTTTCAGCCTGAATGGAAGCTTCAAGACCACCATAACTGGTTCACTTCTTGACTACTGAGTACTGCTTCGGCGTGGGCACCGGTATACCGGTAGCTTGCTCGCTCCTTGGATCCTCTCAAGCTCAGCGACACCATTGCAAAGCAGCAGCTGCTCATAAAAACCAAATCAAGCTCCTCACAAATTTCACCTGACCAATCTTCTTATGAGTCTTCTTCTTCCATCATCCTTTACCAGTTTCACCACCATGGATTACCGCAACACTTACGCTGAATTTGCCAACAGTGGCAGCCCTCGAGGTTACTTGTCTCGGCAGTCCGCGTCGTTGGCGTCCCCCATCCTGACCCAACGCACATCGCCCATCACTTCCACGACGGCAGCACCACCGCTGAGCCCGATTTCGCGCTCGTTGCTGCTCTCCAACGCCATGGGACCGCTGGACCGCAAACTTCCACCTGGCAACTCTGCCATTTTCGCCAATGAAAGTCTCGAACGTCTGCGCCTCCCCATTCGACCGGACATTTTCTCCGTTCCACGCTCCCCCGCTCCACCTGCCGCGTTCAAACCCCGCCGTCGCCCCAAACTGCCTCCCGCGTCTTCCTCGAGCGCCGTCTTTCGCCGCAAGCGCTTCCTTGTGTTTATGAAGGTCCTCCTCAAGTGTCTCAAACGAGACATGACCAAGAACCCGCAGTCGGCCCGTCTCTACCAACACGCCAAGGCCATTATTGCCGACTGCACGCAACGAAATCGTCAAAAGGATCCCCACTACTGTCCGCTCCCCGAAGCCGTAGAACGTCGTCTACGACCCGTCGTCGGAGAAGCCCAGTGGAAACGCGCTCATGCTTGTCTCGACTTGTACTTGGAAAAACGTCGTCAGCTGCATCGATTGCCTGCATCTCATCACACCACCACGACGGTCGATCCGCTCCAAGTCTCCTTCCCCGAAATCTGCCGCACCGCGTCCGATCCGTGGAGAAAGGAAGGCGTCTGAGCGTGCAAGCATCGGATCAGGTATACAAGGATTATTAGGCAGGAGTTCTGTAACAGCAGCATTTTTAGGGACACTCATATTCATAACCATAACCACACAACTACTATCTAATATTCACAACTAGCTAGCCGTACCCCACCATTGCTCGATAGGGCACAGATGCGAAGCCATTGCACTGCTAAAGACAGGATCATGCGATCTGCTGCCCAAGTTTTCGTACGGTACGATGCGAAGGCAACTTGAGCCCGAAGGCATGTACGCTGTACAGTCCAAAGGGGGAGACTGCAATGGAGTTGAAGAGGCAGTCAACGCTCCCTCCTATCAAGTCGAGTCAGAGCAGGAGATAAGCAAAGCGACGACTTATTCCATGATCGATCAGAGGCCCCGCCCCGGTGAAACGTTGACGCTAACAATCGACCTGCCTGTCTCTATGCGCAGCCATTCAGTCCATCAAGAGGGAGGCATCCATCGTCGCATCCACACTCCACGACAACGCAACCGTACACCGGTTTCTTCTCGGTTGATGGCTCCGGTGGTTGCAATGCGAAGCCGGGCCCCTCGCCTAACTGAAACGTCGCTCATGCTGGGCATGCCAAGCAGAGTTCAGCGCGCAGCAGAACCTCACGTACCGTACCGGTACAGTATAGTACCTTGGCCCAGAGCTTGGGGGTGAGCAAAAGGAGGCCCCCTTGGCACTTGGCACCGTTGGTGTAGTCCGTACCGTATCGGAGGTTCGAATTCGGAGCCCGAAACTTGAATCTTCAATCCAATCCGAACTCTCGAGTCTTGTTCAACTGCCGTAGCCACAATGCGGTCCACGTGTAATGAGCGAGACTGATTGCTGCCTCAACCATACAGTACCGGTAGGCATCGAGTACCGATATAGCTACGGCATTGATGATACGATCTCAGTCTACGATACCGTACCACAGCCGCGCCTCGAGCAAATCGTTGTCTGCCTCACACCAACTGGAGTGCACCTCGGTGGTTGGTATAATACTATTTATAGTAAACGCACACTGGCTGTTCGAAACATTGGTGCGCACGGTACGGTAACATTGCCACCTTTATTCTTGGCAGGAAGCGACGTAAGGACATGTATGGCCGCCACGAAACTCCTTCATAGGGTACCGGTATACCGTACATTACAGACTCTCATACACAGCCAGCTAATTGTGAGCATATCTCTTGTTGGATCTCGGCAAAAGCCTGGGTGCCGGTACGCCGGTACCATTCTGTACTAGGAGTTAGGAGTAGTACTCAGTAGTTTGTGTCAAGCAATTTTCATGGAACCACACATAAATCATTAGGTGTCGCTACTTCATTGCACGTCTAAAAAGGTTGCTATGGTGGCCACCGGCACAGAAAGTTTCCGTTCTGTGTTAATCCCGAGAACACAACTCAAGTTCTGAGAAAAATGAAGTTTCTGATGCCCTTGACATCACAGTGTCAAGTTGCGAATAGAAATGATACATCAAGGGTCGATAGCATCCGGGCAAACCCAGGTCCGAGATGTCAAAAAGGTATCATCCCAATACCGTACCACTTAGCTGAGTGAGAAAGCATCGGCAGAGCCGTGAAGGTGACAGCAGCTCTCGCTGTGAGAATGTGGAAAAACATGACACCACCAATGAAAGCCGTTGCATTGCCAAACAATCAAACCCAAGACATAAAATTTCGAAGCGACTGTCGACAACGCAGAGCAATAATGACAAAACTGTTTTCTTCTTGCTATTCCAGGTTCTCTCTTTTGGTGTTTGTGGCTGGTCTCTTGTCTGCTACCAGCGCCTTTACCGATCTTCGAAACTTTTCGGTTCTCACGAGACGATCCTCCAAGACCAAAACATCGACGGAACTGGCATGGAGTCTGCCAGCGCCTTTGACTCAAAGTCTGGGAAACAGCAAACACTGGTATCAAGATATTGGAAGTGCCGTCGACCGTCATATTGAGTATCAAGACGAAGAAGAATGCTCTGTGTGGGAGGCGGAGAATGAATGTGGACTAGGTGCCTTTTCATCCCGTATGTCTCTGTTGGAAGACGATACCTTGTTTGCTCACGAAGACGATCAGGCGGTGGCTCAGAGGCGATTTGGAAGGCCCCGTCCTCTTCGCATGGCAAAGGGTATCTGGCGTCGCATTCGCCGCAACCCCCACTGAAGCCTTTGAAATAACAAAGCTTGGCCCGCCTTTTGAAATTCTCCACCACGAACAATGGCTTTCGATTCAATACACGATGTATGCTTACTGCACACCAAAACACCCAACCACACACCGCTACGCTATCCTATTACTCTCATGAACAAATCCAAGTACTAGACTAAAAAATGATGCACACTAACTATAATACAAAGAAAAACTAAATGTCACTTTTTAAAACAAACAGCGGCGTTTCTGACCGCCAAGTGATTCTTGTGGGGATTTGAACAATCCTGGTTGCCAGCTTGTGTAGACATTTAGATGGTCCCCGCGAGGCAGATTGCTTTGGAGTAGTATCGTGTTGGACTAGCGAGGTTTACTTCTGTTCAAAGGAACTTTCTGCTTGGGAGGAGCAAAAATCCAAGCAGGTGGCTGCCTTTGAAAGAACGACAAGAGGAGCGAGTGGGAACCTTTTTCTAGCTTGCTTCAGTACATGTACTAGTATGTCAAGACATTCGGACAGCACCCGGTCGTAAACCACAGTGAAAGTAGCTCTGGCATTTTATTATTTTAAGGTTCGCGATCTCGAGACTTCGTGCCAAGCCGCGGTGTTCCGAACCCCTCACGATCGTGCAAAACAAAACCTCGGCCATGGTTAGCACCACCGCGATCGTTTCACTCGCCTGCTTTGCTTGGGTCATCAAGTTGGTGGGACAGGTCTACTATACGATCTCACCAAGGGTTGCTAGTTTAGGTACCATTCCCCAACAGAAAGGTTTCCAGGTACACACCACGGTTACAACTGCTGAGATTTATTGAACAATGCAAAGCCGCACGATCGTTGTTTTGCCAGAGTCATCGCCCGCCGGTGACGAGAAGCGAATAGATGGTGTGGTCTCGGTCTCGGTCTCGACCCCGATCTCGATTTGAAGATCGTTTTCTTCTCTCACAATCTCAAAACCTGAAACTCATCAACAGAACCAACACAAACAACAACGATAATAATGAAGTTTGCCAACGTTCTTGCTCTTACTGCTTTGACAGCTGTCTCCGCTGAGAATGGACTCCGCTCTGAGGTAAGGCCGTCCAGAAGTTTAATACTTCTCGTCGCTCTTGGTCATGGGAATCGTCTTTGTTTCTCAACCCTTCTTTTCGCGTGAATTATATAGCAACGCCGACTTGATGATGCGGCCCCCGAAGAGAAAGATCTCACCGCTATCACGGACTCCATGTGCACTGCCTGTGATATCTGTGATGCTTTAGATACTTTCGATTTGTGTGACATCAATGAAATACAGAACCTAGCATGCGCAAACTGCGATTCTTTTGGCGTTGATGGCTTGTGCCTAGCATGCACTTTCTGCGATGCAGCAGGGGATCTCTGTGATCTTAATACTGTGACATCCCTCGGCTGCGGACTCTGCCCTGACGACGGCGGTGATGGTGGCGATGGCGGTGATGGTGGGTTAATTCCTGGCAGTGATAGTGGCTTGTGCTTTTCCGAAGTCGCCACTGTTCAAGTCTTGGGCAGTGACAGCACGGCCACTACCACATCCATGAAGGACTTGAAGATGGGAGATCGTGTGTTGACAGCAGATGGAAGCTACCAGTCTGTCTATGCCTTTGGCCACCACCATCCCACAATCAAAGCAAGCTTCTTCCAGATTCACAGCAAGAACGCAGAAAATGCCTTGGAGGTTACTCCAGATCACTTGATCTTTCTTCAAGACAAGTCCAGCCCTGTTCCGGCCCAAGATATCAAGGTTGGCGATGTTCTCCGCGGAGCCGACAGTGCTGGATCCGCTGTTACCAAAATTGGAACAGTGGAGCGGTCTGGCATTTATGCCCCAATGACCAATGGAGGGACTGTTGTTGTGGATGGTGTCGCTGCATCTTCTTACATTCATCTGAATGAGAAGCAACAGCAATTCCTTTCTGATCATGACTTGATCCACTTAACACTTTCCCCCTACCGTTTGCTCTGTAATGGAGTTTCTGGGGCCTTCTGTGACACCAAGTACTACTTGAGTGATGGCATGCCCTTCTATGCTCACTATGGACTGGAACTCTTGCACTTCCTCATGAAGAGCAATGTTGTGGTTCGTACCTTGGGAATGTCCACCATTTTCTTCTTGACCGGCACTAGTCAAGTCTTGGAAAACCTATTTGGTGCCTCCATGGCTCCCTTGTTGGTGTTCCTTGCCATTTCAGGCTACATTTCTCATACCAATAGCAAAAAGAGCAAAGCCAAGGCATTGTGAGCACGAACAAAGAGTGAAGGATTGCTGGGGTGCTGTGAATCAGAAGTCTTTTGGAGAATATCCGTAGAACACAATAAATGCATATAACACTATCCAAGGACGTACCGTTCCTCTACACGTAGATAGGCGCCTCTTCTGATAGCTTTTTGAATGCATGTTGATCTCATTTGGACTGATCCGTCTTTCTCTTATATGTATACTGGAAGGGGGTGACTTCAAGAAGCATCAAATTTGGACTGGTGGTTGTGGAGATACCCATTTCTTTGGCTTCATGTGAGATCCGCTCAAAATCACGAGTTGGCTCCAGAAGAGTGCCTTTTGGCTCTTTTGACACCAAACCAAGCCACAGGATTCACGCTGGGGTGTATGCACCCAACTTCAGACGTCAAGACACCACAAGAAACTGATTGAGTTGTGCCTACTTTTGGCCTTGGATTTCTTCCACTTTGGCTGACCCAAACAGCCTCCTTGTCGGAAGCCTTCTACTTGGATTTTCGTGGAAGCACCTGAGGAGATTCAAGTTTTGGTACTACAAGCAGCAACCAACCATCCAAAGACCACTTCCATAGACCATCAGGTTGTCAAATAACAAACTTTCTTGGTTTTGAGCGACTTTCACGACAACAGAAATCAGCCCAGCATATATAATTATGTGGGCCACCCAAGTCGAATATGGGTCCATTGAGGCACATGCCTGCTTTGTATACCCTTAGTGGAAACTTCAGACCTTGACCCGTCTTCTATCTAATAGAGTGGACATACCGGTATTGTCATTCTCCCATGCTTTGGCAACTTGTGTGCGGGTATTCCACATATTTTAGATATCTGAGCTGGCTTAAACAATTGCCTTTAATAAGTCTTTTAATGTTGGTTGAATGAGAACGCTTCTTCTCACTTTTTGTCCCTTTTTCCGCCCTTCCACGGCAATCGGGTAACTGGTCATTGATTGAGAGCTCGAGTGCACGAGAGTGACAGTCTTCGTGCTCAAAGCAGCTACCAACAGCTAGCTGCTAGCTAGCAGCTAGCTGTTGCCAGTTCTCGGACATTGTTCGATCCTCATGATCCGGATCGTTGATGGGTCGTGCACTATCCATTTCATCTTCCCAGTGCTGGGTGTCCTTGCTTCCCATGATGCTTCCTACTAAGCGTGCTGTTAGCATTGCGGTGTTGTTTTTGTGCATCTCGGTTGCGCAAAGCCTTGGCGGGGAGAAAGCTGCCTTTGATAAAAAACGCGTCCTCACCGGACGACTTGAGCCACAGACAGGATGTGCGTTGTTTAATTAACACGTTGCTCGAAAACCCTTTAGAAGACGAAATCTGAAACCTCATGTTTTGACCATTCTTGTTCTGTTTCCCTGCTTCAGGTATGCGATCGATTTGATCGGTTTCGTGCTGGTGAGGTTGCACTTCGAGACGCTCTTTCAGGTCTAGCTCTAAGGCCGGTCTTTATTCACGTGAGACACCCCTCCTTCAAGTACACGCCCGAGGATGGAATTGCCAAAGAGAATCCAGGACTCTTAGTGGAGTTGCTTGATGCCATTGCAGAAAGCGCAAATTTCACATGGCGCAACTCTTTTGGGGTCATGGGACGACCGAATAGCTACAACATGACATGGACAGAGCTTTTGCTCTGGCAGGTTGAAAATTATGACATTGCAATCAACAACTGGGATCATTCAATTGCTAGAATGGAACTAGGTGTAACATTTACAGAGCCCTGGCTTGATGCCAGTTACATTTTGGTTGACAGAAGGAAGCAACTCAATGACCCCAAATCTTTCAATCCACTCAACTGGACCAAGCCCTTTGAACCAGCAGTTTGGGCAATGACTGTACTGACTATCATTCTCTCTGCCCTGGTCTACCAGCTCCTTGAATATCTCAATGGAGAAAGAGGAGACAGGTCACTTGTACAGTGGTTCTCCGATAACCTCTATCTCAGTGCCATCAATTTCTCCCAGAACTTTGAGTATGCCCCACCAGCTTTGCTGGAAGAATCTTTGGAGTCAGCATGACAATATGGGCACTGGTTATCACTACCACATACACAGCAAATCTTGCTTCTCTGTTTGTTGAAGCAAGAGTTGAACTGGTCATCGTCGATTCCTTGGAAAAAGCTGTGGTCTATGGCTATCCCGTGTGCACTCTGGCATACTCCAGTTCGGACAATTTCTTAAAGAAAACGGTCCCAAAGTTACACCGTGTGCAAAGAGTGGATGACAGATCCTCTTTTGAATCTCTGACAAAGGGTGAATGTGCCTTGGCTTTGACATATGTTGACAAGTGGCTCAGTGCAAAGTTGAATCCAGAATACAATCCATCCTGTAACTTGGAATGGGTGGGAGACAGGGTGAAGAACATCAAGTCTGGATTTGCTGTGAAAGCTGATTCAGGTGACAAGTGCAGCAGCCTTGTTCGTGATGTTGTCAATTTACATTTCATTGAGCTTATAGAGAAGGGAGTCCTAGCAGAAGCTTGGAGAAAACGCAGAGAAATGGAAAATAATGGCGACCACTGTGGATATGTGGATGATGCGCACCAAGACTCCAATCGACAACTCCAGTTCCATTCTAACCAGCCAGAACTGACCTCAAATGGCCGCAATGTCTCTCCAGGACGTAGAATGCTATCGGTAAAGGGGGGCGCAAAGGCACCTGGTGGAGCAACTGATGGTGCTACCGTTAGTTCGGCTACATTGACAGTACAGCAAATGCTTGGAACTTTCATTATGCACTGGGGGGCCATGTTGGTTGCCATTGTGGTCAGCTGCATTTCAGCGTACATTCAGAAGCTGAACTGCTGTCAGAAGAAAGAACAAGTAGTTGAAAAGGTTGTCTACAGGAAGAACGGACCAATCATTGGAATACCACCAAGATTAAACACTGTTGTGGTCCACAACTTGGAGGACAGCGCGTTGTACATCGGCCACAACCCCTCAGAATTAGGATCATCACCGACCAATGACAGAAGGCAGGAGAATGCACATCTCGCTAATGAAGGATCATCAGAGAACAAGGACGAATCTGGTGTTTACAGTATGCACGAGAGCGAGAGTAGTCCTCAAAACAATGGATTCCATGCACCAACCTGGCAAGCTGGTCTTGCAGCTCTGGATGCCAAGATGGATATGTTGCTGCAGACGATGCAAGAAGGTGGTGGTCAAGAAGAAGGTGTTTGGGTTGGAAAGTATACCGTGCAAAGTTAATTGATGTTACGTTGCATGCATTTATCGTTGTCGCCACAAGGAGAGAGTGGAGGTATGCTGTTCAGGGTCGTTCGCAGATTCCCCGCATAGGCTGAGATCCCGTGACGACTTACTCCGATGCGACTGTTTCGGTTCGAAACTACATGCAGAAGAAACAGGGCCGGGAAAAGCTGCTACCCACGCTCGACGCCGTTCTGTTTTATTAAGTTTAAAAGCCTCGTGGTCATTGAATTGAACGATCGTTGAATAGACCCTGTTTTAGAGTTCTGGTGCGATGCCTTTGGAAGCTCCGAGAAGTGGAAGATCGCATGGAGGAAGTTGTCTTGGGCTGGGTGATGTGCAAAAACGAGAGTGCGGTGTGCACTACGCTAAAAGCTAGTGTAAAGATCTTTCGAGTGTTTTGAGTTTGAGAGAATGAAAGTTATGAGAGGATTAGAAAGCTATGAAAACTAATCAACGAGAGAGATCCACAACCAAAGGATCGTAGATCTGAACTCCCGCGGGAGACTGTAGAGTGTGATAGAGTAGGTTGCGGTAGCAATCCTACTCACTCCACGATCCAAAAACGGAACGCGTGGAAGATTCGTCTAGCATTTATCTAGTAGCGTGGAAGTACTCCACGCTGGCTAAATATCTAGAGCGATGTTTCATCATCAACCTAGTATGACTAGAGCGGTCATTGAGAACCCTGTCTCAATGACTATTCACGAAAGACTCAGTCATGAGTCGAACTCAAACCCTATCTAGGATCGAGTCGCGAATAAGGCTAAGAGCCGTGTATTGCATTCGCCCCCTGACAAGGGTCACGGAAGGCGCGACATCAGTCGGACAAGGAGAACATATGAATTAAAGTGCGGGGCACTCTCCGGAGATTGGATGTAGACATGTGCGTCGCACGATGGCAATCCTACAAGGGGATCAGGCCTTGTATGGGTGTAAATACCTTATGTTCCAAGTCTGGTAGACTGTGCCGCTACTGGCGGTAGTATGTCGGAGCCGTACAGTGCCATTGTTGTTATGACTCGGTCTGTGGTAAGGACCTTGTGCGTTGGCTGACCGTACTAACGGTTTTGATACTGATGAATCATCATAGTATCGTTGACATGTGTTATGAGGGACACGTGCCGTTTCTCCTTATCGGTGTTTTCTGGATAAGTCTTGGCACTTCCTTAATGTATTCCTTTGCTTTGAAACGATGTAGTGAGTCTTGTCACGTTACGCGCTGAACTTGCGACGAAGTTCATGTTCATCCCGGAGAGTTTCTCGACCTCTGCGCGGACTCACGTTCTCTGTCCATGACAACCTACGGTCATGGATAATGGGTAACCCACGTCTGTTTCAGAACGATGGTTACTCCGTCTGCTGTCTTGGAGCAGCCCTTGTAGTTCATTGGTCCAATGAATCTACGAGTTCCTTCCTGTTGGTAGTAGAAGAGCGATAGTGGATGCATCTATTATTTTTTAGTTAAGGGTTGGCTCCTTCTCGATAGTCCAATTGTCTGAGATACTCCAGTTCTTCCCTTCGAGGAAGGCCTTGTAGTGTTGATTTCAATCCCGACTTCTTGAAGTCTTTGGAAAAGTCATCTAACAATTCAACGCGATCCGCTAGATCGACGTCCGTTAGGATGATTGATCATCAATGTATCACGGACATTTCTATTTCCTAGTCATGCAGTGCGTATGATCGCTTTTCATCATTACGTTCCATACTTTGAGGAAGATTGTTGATGATGAAAACATGCGTTCCTCCTAGATATTAGCAGGTGGAGTACTTCCACGC